CGCGCGGAGCCTTCGAAGTCGCCGAATGCGTCCCCGTCGAGGGTCCCCGACCTCGTCGTGCCGCGCACGGACTACGAGCTCGACTGCCTCGCCCGCGCCCCGTTCATCACCCGCGTCCTCGACGCCGAGCACGAGCGGTTTCACGTCCCCATCTTCTGCGAGCCCGCCGCGGCGCGGCAACGGCAGGGCTGGATCGACGCCATCCAAAACGAATCGCTGGAAATCCACCAGCGACGCGACGCCCTCGCGTTTTTACGGCAGCAGCGCGAGGAGGAGGCGATCGACGCCTTCGCGCGCCGCGGCGCCGCCGTGCGCATCCAACGCGCCTTTCGCGGTTGGCTTCGCATGCGCGACGACCCGCATCGCGATCGCGCGCTGCTCTTCCACAGCCGTCGGCGTTATCAACGACGAGAAGGGGAGCGGCGGGAGGCGCGGGTGGCCGCCGCCGCCGCGAGGCTGCGCGCGATCAAACGCTACGGCGACGTCGCCGCCCCGATGCGAGAATCCCACCACCGCGTGCGCGAGGAGCTGGAACGGACGATGCAGGGCGAAACGGGGTTCATCTCGAATCGTTCTCGCTAAGCCGGCCTGATCTCCGTGGTTCGCGAGCGGAAATAAAAAAAAGGGGGGGGGGCAAAAAAGGCTTACTTTTGTGGTCTCTAAACTTCGCCCAGCCGCGAGGAACGTCTATTTCGCCCTTAGTCACCTTTGAATATGCGATGGTTACGCGGAGTTAGAAGATTCTTTCGTTTTGCCCGTTTCAATCTACTAGTCTATGTTTACATATAGATAAATATGGAAAAAAGCTTGATGGTGTTCGGTGTCATGTGGCCTTGAATCGAATCTTTCTTTGTAGAGCTTAGAATGTGACCTGTATCTCTGATTGGATTTAGTTTTCAGGGAGGGGAAGGTTTGTTATGAAGCACATGAACTAAATAAGGAACTCTGCTGTGAGGCGACTTATGTATACTATGTTAATTAAATGATTAGAAGCATAGCGAAACTCAAGCCTTGGTTTTGAGACGATTTGATTCGACCTCGGCTTTTGCTTTTGGATGCAGTAGGCGAGGCCGAAAAAGTCCTCCTAGGACTTTGTGGGCCGAGGTTATCCCCTCCTGAACAACCCATATATGTATGGATATATATGGGCTCATGTTATTTTTACACTTCATGTATTTCATTTCCCTTAGATGTGTGAAGAAAAATCAAATGTTGAAAATATTGTGACTTAGATTTAGTGTTATTACCTTGTGGGTTAAATAGCGAGTTTTACAGCAATAGTTTCAATAGGATAGTATATCATCTTATCATCCCTGATGCATTTTATCGTATGGATTCTTTTTCTTCTCCGCTTTCTCGTAAGTATCCCATTATATACACTTCTCCTCTCGATCTATCTATCTATATATAGATCAATAGATACATCACTTTTTCGCTTCTTTCGCAAGACTGGATCAAACTGAGCTTGCTTTAGGGGCAAGCAGAAGCACACCTTTTAATTGAAACGTCCATCCCTTAGTATCGCCCATTTATATGCTCATTCAGCTTCAAAATTCCACTGAAATTAGTTCTTTTCCAAAATTTCTATCCCCCCAATGATCACCGACGCCGAGTTCTGGATGGAAATTCGGAACCGCAAGGAAGGCCGTCCCGACCTCTTCAAAGGCATGCTTGCGCTGATCCACGCCCACCAATGCCGCCTCGACGCCCGGGTGGTCTCCCTTGAGGAGGAGGAGGTCCGGATCGCCCGTTATGGGACGGAGCGCCTCGCGTTACTCAAAAAAAACCCCGCCGCGGCCGCGCCGACGGGGCTGGGGCGGGATCCCTCGCGTTCCCAGG